CACACACACACACACACACACACAAACACACACACACACTCTCTCTCTCTCTCTCTCTCTCTCTCTCTTACTCACACACACACTCACACACACACACACCCCAATAGCTGGACATTCAGAGACTTTTCAAACAGACCAACATTTTTAGTGTGTTGTCAGGGTTACGTTTTTGTGTGTGTGTGTAAATTGTCATATCGTAAATGTTTGATTGAGCTTTAGCTTGTCTTTAGTTTGCTATTTAGCACTAAACATTTACCATAGTCACGTCACAAGATGATACGACAGAGTCCAGAGCACTAAAGACACACACAGACACTCACACTCACACACACACTCACACTCACACACACACACACACACACACACACACACACTCTGCGGTCACATGCTCTGCTGATGGTTTGTTAGGGAGTGTTTCCTGCGAGTGTTTGCTCTGCTGTCACTAATCCATCATAATGAAGGTCAGCTGACTGTAATTCCACAACATCTCACCTGGTTTGTGACTGTCAGTCATCTGTTACTAAATGATTAGGCGCAACATATTCACCATGAAACAGGTTTGTTGGGTTATTGAGGTGCAGAAGGTTTTTAATGACATTTAATCCTTTAAATTGTCATGAGCTGAATGTTTCTCTGTAATCTGATAGTAATGTCTTGCATGAATGAGCGAGTAGCTGTGGTGTTTGTATTTCAGTGAGAATCCCTACAGGCCGTTTTCAAAGCCTTGCTGCTGTTCTTGTGTGAGTCTGTGGTTTGATCGTCTCTTTATGGCATTATTTCACCTGCGTGTCTGTACTCGGCTGCTCATTCTGTGTGTTCAGTCCAAATACGGCAGACGGGTTTGGTATCTAGATGTTTGTACATGACTGTCACGCTCCTACATTTACATGCATTTATTCAGCTTTACAACTGAAACCTTTAAATACATTTACATTTACAATTACATTCGCAACAGTTGTGTTGCGAATGTGTTTTTGCATTAAACAAACGCGAGGCGCAGGACAGTGGAATGGGAAAAAACACGAGACACATTTTAAAACAACATAAAACTGCAGTGTTTAAAGTGTTTTATTTTGATTTGTTTGTATTTTAAAATTATTTACTTATAATAAAAATGTAAAATAAAACTAATTATTTTAAAATAAAAATGATCAAGATAAAACATTCATTAAAAGTGTATAAAATATTAAAAATTTAAAAAAAAATAATTTAATAAATGTTTTATTTTGATTTTTATATTAAAATATTTTATTTTAGTTTTATATTTTTGATTAATTTAAATTTTACTTGGCATTTTTCTTTTTCATTTTAAAAACTTTTTTATTTTATTTATTTAAAATTTATTTATTTATTATTTTATCAATTTGTAAAAATGTTTTTTTTTATTTTATTAATTTTACTAATTCAGGTAAGTTTTATTTTGATTGTATTTAAAAATTTATTTTCATTTTACATTTTTATGATTTTAATCATTTTTAATGTTTTATTTTTTCAAATAATGTACTTATTTTTACATTTGTATGATTCTGTAAATTTTAATTTGATTACATTTTAAATATGTAAAAATAATTGATATAAGTTTTATTTAAAGAAGTGTTTTATTTTGATTTGTTTTTATTTAAGAATCATTTATTTTAATTTTACGTTTTTCTTATTTTAAATTTTACTGTTTTTTTACTTTTGTTTTTATTTTAAAATCATATATGTATTATAATTGTTACGATAATATAACTTTTTAATAAGTGTTTTTTAATAATTTACTTATTTTTTATATTTTTATGATTTTATACATTTTTAGTATATGTTGTTTTTTAATTGTTTTTAGTTTAAAATAATGCGCTTTCTGTGTTTTTTAAAGGCAGTTTCATCCACGAAATGCTACAAAAGTAGTGAACGCAATGGCAAAAGACGTCTATCTAGCGCATGTTTAAATAGAAAAAACAACGGAAAAGCAGTGCAGTGCAAAAACGCATTCTGTGTGCATCACTGTTGCTCATATTTCTGGTTAGTGATTCAAATAAACCACTAAAAACTGAATAAGTCATGATGGCCAGCTAAAGGTTTTCTATGAGTGAGTTCAGCTTCATGCAGATGGTTTTGTGTATACAGTATGATTGTAATATTGGTGTTTTTAGGATCAGTGCTTTAGCGGTCATGTTGAGACTGTTCTGTTCTCATTCAGGTTTTTTGTTGTAGAGCTGTGTTTTCTGTCATGTGTGCCGTATGAAGCTCTTTTGTTAGTCTGATCGCTCTCTGCGACCTCATTTCATTTGCAAATGAGCTTAAACAGTGTCAGATCTCTCATATTCATGAGCTAAAGTATCTTATCTGTGCGTGTGAATGACTAACCCTGTGTGTGTGTGTGTGTGTGTGTGTGTGTGTGTGTGTGAGAGAGAGAGAGAGTGTGTGTGTGTGTGTGAGAGAGAGAGAGAGTGTGTGTGTGTGTGTGAGAGAGAGAGAGAGTGTGTGTGTGTGTGTGAGAGAGAGAGTGAGTGTGTGTGTGTGTGTGTGTGTGTGTGTCTGTATTTCGCTGTTTACAGGTCACAGTAAAACTATCAGGAAATGAGTTTTAGGACTTCCAGTCTCACTACAGTTTTGTTTTCCTCATAAATATTCAGAGTTGAAACAAAAATGTGGGAAGAGGTGACGGAGTTTAATGAGGGAGAATGAGAGGAGGATCAGTGACCTGGAACAGATTCAGGGCAGAAATGCTTTGTTGTCGCGTTCAGATCCTGTTAACCAAATACAGCCTGACATGAGTGTGAGTGTGTGTGTGTGTGTGTGTGTGTGTGTGTG